TTTGTTGCTGTCGGTTGGAGCTTGTGATACTCTTTATTTGGCTTTGTTGGTTTCGGTTCATGGAGATTGTAATGCTTCTTGTTTGGCTTTGTTGCTTTAGGTTGATTTGATGGATGAGAGCTTGTGCTCATTGTTCATGGAGCTTGTGATGCACATATTTGGTTTTATTGGTTTCGGTTGGTTTGGTGGAGGGAGCTTGTGATGCTCCTTGTTTGGTTTTGTTGGTTTGGTGGATGTAGCTTATGATGCTCCTTGTAAATTATTATTGGTTTCAGTTCATGGAGCTTGTGATGCTCATTGTTTGATTTTGTTGGTTTCGGTTCATGGAATTTGCGACGCTCCATAGTTGATATTTGGCGATGATGATTGTCTTTTAATAAGAATGCAATCTAACTTACATCATTTATTATGTTCAGATGAGGCAATCTGTGATGAGAATGCAACTTACATTGGATTGACAATGTCTAGGTGAGGCAATTCATCACTAGATGCAATCTACAATAAATTTGTAAGTTATAGGTGGGGCATTCAATTTTGGCAAAATGACTTATTCCCGAGCCATACAATATCAACTAGATTTGTAATGATAGTTTACTCAATTCCAATAAAATTTCCATTACATTATCAATAGTTTTTGTAAGTACAAGTACATGACATGTGGTTTATAATAATTAACAAAATACAAAATATCACAACTAAAATTGCAGAAAATTTCCAAGCTAGCAGTGGTTTTTTGACAAGTTTCAATTCTATCTTCAGCTTCTTTTATTTCAAAAAATATTTGTCTCCAAACTCACTTTCTTTGACAAATTGGTTTCATTGGTTGCTTATTTCTCCTCCTTCATGAGCCCACTCAAAAAAAACTACATTCTTTATTTGGGTATTTTGCACACCCCTAATAATATCTCCCCCTATTTTTATCATTCTTGCACACTTTTATGAGTGATTGGAGATCGCAATCGTACCAAACTTTAAAATTTTTAGGACATTCTTTTGATATCATATTGATGGAGGAGATGGAGCTTGCAAACTATGAGAATTTAATATGATGAGAAGAATGAGGGATACATTGACACTATGAGCCATCAATCCACATTTATAGCCTCCAATGCCTTATACCTAGTTGTTGGAATCATGATTTTTTCGGTTTTAAATTTTGGTAAACGGGTAAGGTTACCCTAACTTCTTACTTAATAATATTTTGTCCACTAGTGAGTCGTAAGTTTGCATATGGTGTTGTCATTCATTTGTCCCAAAAAATTCTCATTCCAAACCAAACAAAAGAATAGGATTGGAGGGTTTCTACAAAGTTGGATCCTATATTTTCATATTATGAAACAAATATAGAAAGATAAAAAATAGATCCCACAGCATTCTATGACAAAAAAAAACATCCTTAAATTCTTTATAAATTAGGAAGGAATCCATAAAAAACATCTTTTTCCTAATTCTATTCTTGCACACTATTAAACTAAGCGCCCCCTCCTTCAAAAAGTTGTTGCAAGTCTAGCTCTAACAAAGACTTTCACACTGCTCATAAATTGTTTCGGACTCGGCCCAATAACCTAAGCCCTTCTCCGAAGCCTATAACTGTGCTAGTAGTCTAGGCCCGGGGCCCTCAAGAAAGTGGGTGCATTTATGGATGACCGAATCCTCAACCCGGTATTTATATTCATGTGAAAGGAAACATCATTTACAGGGTTCGGAAAAAAAGAAAAAAAGAAAAGAAATATTTAGATCCTAAATATCAACTGACATCGTCAACACTGCGAAACGAAAAATTTATTAGGGATTTTTGCAGCTCCAATAGTTATTGGGGCTTTAGTGTGATTTTCGAAGTTATTGAGTTTTTATTGCAAAATGTTGTGTTCTTAGGGGTGTAGTGTAATTTACCTAGAAGATATAAATAGCTAAACAACAAAGCCATATTTAGACAGTAAGATATTGTAGTTTCTATTAGAATAATTCAATAATAATATTGATATTTGGATAAAGGGTATTTCACAAAATCATCTTTATCCGCCCATCCGCCCATGTGAAACTTACAATTAGGCTGTTAGGAGGTATTTTGAAAAATATTAAAAGTTAAAGGGGTTTTTGTGAACCCCAAAACTTATTTTAATTTTTTGATAACCTAACCAGAAATTTAATCTACGATTAATAAAGTCATATTAAAACCTTCCACTCGTTCAGATTATCAGTGGTGAGTTAGAACCTCAAAACTATTATAAAAGTGTGTTGCCATGTTAAAACATTTCTTTTAAAAATACCCTCCAAACCACATACATGCATCCATAAAACAAATACTTGCATACATATAAACACATACATATACATTCATACATTCTTAACAACGACATAACTCTCCTATTAATTGTCCACTAATATTAACTTCTATTTTTTTGTAACCCCTCCACTAATCCAATATTAATGTTATCATAATTTTTTTTAAGATTGTAAGTTGTATTTGACATAATAGCTGAGAATTGAATGCACACACATCTAACAAACTAATAATATATGTTTCAATGTGCAAAAAAAAGTGTCAACTTAAAATGCTTACATGCATACATTCTTAATAATGACATAACTCTCCTATTAATTGTCCACTAATATTAACTTCTATTTTTTGTAACCCCTCCACTTAAAACGCACATATGACAAACTAATAATACACGTTTCAATTTGCAAACAAAGTGTCAACTTAAAATATCATTAGTGCATGCATTCATGCATACTTGAAATGAGAGTTATATTTTCAATTGTAGTTTTTATTTAAGTGGCAATTACATTTGACTATTACGGAATCCAAAGAGCCTGTTTTTTTTATTTATCATAATAGCCCTTACTTGCAACCTATATAAATTCACTCATTTGATGATTTAGATTTACACCCACCTCTTACAACCCTAGCAGCATCATATACTCACCTCATGGCTTTACTATGATATTATTTGGATGATACAAGCTCGCTAGTGAAAACATTATCCCTTCAGAAGAGATAACGACATGAAAATATTATCCCTTCAGAAAGGGGGGGGGGGGGGGGTGAAGACGATTGAAGTTGTGCTGAGAAAGTACTGAGCTTTACGCGGATTATATTTTATACTGATGTGATTGTTAGACTGACGGCTATATGCGGATTGAGGATACGATTAATACAAGGAAATGTGGAGAATTCGGATTGAGGCTAAAGTTTGAGGTCTAATTTGGGGGGGTTTTAATAAACTTTTTTTCTATTTCTATAATTATTACTATGTACTTAATTGTGATTTGAGAGAAATATTGTATTATCCATGAACTTAGTAGATATATTTTTTGTTGTATGTTACTAATTATATGATAATAGAAGAGAGAGAAGGTGAAAGTGAAAATTTTATTTTGTTATAATGAATTAGCAAAAATAAAGATAATTAATATAAACTAGAATATCATGACACACTTAAGATAAGGGGGTGTTTGGTTCAATTTCTAGAAATTATAGGAAATGTTTTCCACTTAAAATATGATTTCCTTGAATTTCTTAAAAAAATTATAGGAAAAGTTTTGAGAAATCAAAAAGTACTAATTTTCTTGTTTTTTGTATTTTGCTTGTTTGGTTCAAAACAAGAAAATGACTCATAACTTTATAGAAAATAACAAGATTTGGTAGGTTTTTAATTTAATATGGTATGTGTCAGATTTCTGATGATTTCCTCTCATTTTGAGAGGAAATTGCTTTTTGTAAAATTTGGTAGGTTTTGATATTTTATAAAAAATATTTCTGTAATTTTTTTGTTGAACCAAACACAATTTACAGAAATTTCTGGAAAACTTTTAATTACAAATTTGTCATTGTCAGATGTTTTGAGAAAAGTTTTCTCAAAAAGTGTGCAACCAAACAGCCCCTAAAAGTAAAGAACAAACTTAGAATTTTTATCTTTTGGGTAAATTTTTTTTATATAATAAGTATATTATAACCTCCCTAATGTTAAAACTATATTCTAAATTTGCACATAAAACTACCAGTAGTTATTAAATGCCATTCATTATCTTAAATTATAAAGTAAATAGAACTATATTTTTTAAGATTAAAAAAAATTGTATCTTTTGGGTATTCCATGATTTGCCAATGTTCACAAAATAACCCTGGATTTTTTCACAAACAACCATGGATCTTCATAATTTTCACAAAGACCATTGTAGTTTCATATATTTATAGAAAAATACTAAAACTTCTTAATTTTTTACAGATAAACCCCTATATAGTTCAAAACGTAAATCTTAAGAAGATTGAAAGAAGTATATGATCTAAATTGTAAGAAAATTACAAATAAGTCATCAAATATTGTTATAATTACATTCAAAATGAAACTCTTCCATTAATTAAATAATGAATGGTGTAAAGTATTAGAACATAAAATAAATATGCCCACGTGCAACGCACGTGCATTATACTAATTACAAATTAAACATTTCTGGGAGCGTGGTAAAAAAAAAGTTCTAGGGATTTTGTGGGAAAGCCAAATATTTTAGCTCTTTTTTCTAATGCTTTGTTTGGGAGTTTACTAAGGGAAGTGATGGAAAGTTAAATAATGGAAAGGAAAGGTAGGGAATAGAAGTGAAAAGATAAAATGTTGTTTGGGTGTTTAGTTAGGGGAATTGAAGTAAATTTGTTTTACCTTATTTGCGAGCTCTAATAAAAAGGATGGAAGTGAATTGGATATGTATGAAGTTACATAAATGCCCTTACATATTAGATGCGAGTATATCTTAGCCATTGATTTTAACGTCATGAGGTATTACTGTCTTATCACATTGTAAAATTTTACATTGGTTTTTATTCCATCTTCTACCCTCTCAAAAATAGAAGGAAATTTAACCTTTCATTCCGTCCTCTAGCCCTTCAAAAAAACTTTTAAATAAGGTAAAATTAAAATTTCACTTTTAACTCCCAACCTCCGTCCAAACAAATTGTAAATGCATTAATAGGAGTGCAGTCGAGTTCGGTTTGGGGCCAGGAGAAAGTGGGTGCATCAATTGGTGCTCGAATCGTACCCGATCCTTGATCTTCACCTCATCAGATGAGATGCTCCCCATATTTTATTTCCGGCAAATAATAATTAAATAAATAAAATCCATCATATCGATCTAAAAAATCCCCAAAATTTCAGATTCCTCTTGTTGAGGTCGACGAGATTTCGGTACACAGAAGCCCTAGGAATCCATTACTCCAAGTTCCTCGATTCTCATAGCCATGGCGATGGCCGTGAAGCTCAACCTGCTGCTCTTGCTCTCGCTTCTCACTCACCAAGCTAAGGGTAAATCCTAAGGCGTCCCACAAACTGGAACACTTTCCACTCTCAATTCTCACATATAAAACTCCTCCGTGATCAAAATTCTACGACAGGTTTTGTTTAAGTATCATTAAGAACCATACATATATGTTGATACTATGTAGCCTATTATATGTGTATATATGTATTCAGATATGGGTGTGTGTGTGTGTGTGCGTGTATATATAATGCGTGGTGTGTAGCAGACAAATATGATAGAATTTGATATCCCGGCAAGTTTCTTCTATTAAACTAGGTAGTGACTGTGTCAACGATTTGGCCCCTACATCATTGCTCGGAAGCATAGAGTTTACTCCATCACATATCACCTATCAAGAAAAGGGCTCCATCTTCGAGGCTGTGATGTAATGTGGCTGATTTGGCCACCTTAACTACCAGTTCAATCAGAAAGAACTTGGTACTTAAGGTTCTCATATATTTCTCATATACTATTTATGTATAGAATACTATAGAGAGAGAGAGAGAGAGAGAAGAGATAGAATAATGGAGGTGAGCTGACAGCTCACCTCGCCCCTGTGAGCTGGGCAAGTGTATGACATGTGATGCCCCCTCTAGTCAACATTGAAATGCGAGGCTCACATGTCATCCAATTGCAGGATCATGGGGAGAGGAGAGCTGTCATCCACTCACTCCATTATTCTCATATATATATATAGAATATATTGGATATCAGTATTATATAAATATATATATATAATACTATATGATAGTATTATATTATATTGCACATTCACACACACGACGGACGGTGGGTCAGCATCACTCCCATTATTCCTTCATATATATATATATATATATTATATATGTATATATTATAATATATATTATAAGGAAGAGGAGAGAAGAGAGAGAGAGCAATCTTCGATGCGAAAGGATTTTCGCACAGCAACTGTGCGAACGATTTTTGCCGGATATGGCATTTAACAGACGGAGGGGAGATGAAAATGAAGTCCGCAGGATCCCTCAGGCCCTACCTCTCGTCTCGTCACCTTATTCCTAAAGAATCCAGTCAAGGTCCTCCTCACCACTCCTTAATATGAATCGATGGTCCCACATTTGACAGAGTGGCGGGGATTCGTGCGCACCTCACTACGCAAGCACAAAATTTACCCGGCACCCGGTACAAGCTACTTCACTTATGGCCATTAAGTTACCACAAGATCTGCTATATCTATATACGTCCCTATACTATCCACTAACTATATCTCACTCATATATATATATATATAGTAATATATATATATATACTCTATATATAGTTATATATTATATACTACACACCACCACACATACAATTTCCACGTCAATTTGCAATCACTGTTCAAGCCAAGAATCATCGCATCCTAATTCAGTCGATCTAAAACGAAGGGGGAACAAGAACCTAACTTTCACAGAAAGAATAAACTTCACTAGTCGAGATTCTGAAGACTCTAACAATAAGAACTGAAGAATTCACGCTGAGCCTCATCGGCATCACCCCGCAAAGTTGCTAACGAATAACCTACTGGTTCGGCGAATTCAAAGAAGACAACTAGATACTTTGTCCTCCGTCCTTGGATGTCAACAAGATCCAACGCATATTACTACATTTCTAGTGGAATCTTTCCTAAAAATTAAAGAGCGAAGCGCGATCTGGAGAGAGAAGAGAATAGACGAATCCGTCTTAGCTGTGGTGAGATGAGGAGCTTGAATCCAGGCGGAGGACAAAGGATCTGTTGTCTTCTTTGATTCGCCGAACCAGAGGTTTATTCGTAGCAACTCGATGGCGATTGGAGGCCAGGTGAATTCTTCTGTTTCTTATTGTTAAGTCTTCAGAAATCTGATAGTGAAGTTTATTCTTTCTGTGAAAGTTAGGTTCTTTTCCCCCCTCGTTTTAGATCACTGAATTAGATGGATGATCTTGGTGCTTTCTGAACTATGTGGATGCAAATTGAGTGGAATTGTATGTGTGGTGGTGTGTAGTATATAATATATAACTATATATAGAGTATATATATATATATTACTATATATATATATATATGAGTGAGATATAGTTAGTGGATAGTATAGGGACGTATATAGATATAGCAGATCTTGTGGTAACTTAATGGCCATAAGTGAAGTAGCTTGTACCGGGTGCCGGGTAAATTTTGTGCTTGCGTAGTGAGGTGCGCACGAATCCCCGCCACTCTGTCAAATGTGGGACCATCGATTCATATTAAGGAGTGGTGAGGAGGACCTTGACTGGATTCTTTAGGAATAAGGTGACGAGACGAGAGGTAGGGCCTGAGGGATCCTGCGGACTTCATTTTCATCTCCCCTCCGTCTGTTAAATGCCATATCCGGCAAAAATCGTTCGCACAGTTGCTGTGCGAAAATCCTTTCGCATCGAAGATTGCTCTCTCTCTCTTCTCTCCTCTTCCTTATAATATATATTATAATATATACATATATAATATATATATATATATATATGAAGGAATAATGGGAGTGATGCTGACCCACCGTCCGTCGTGTGTGTGAATGTGCAATATAATATAATACTATCATATAGTATTATATATATATATTTATATAATACTGATATCCAATATATTCTATATATATATATGAGAATAATGGAGTGAGTGGATGACAGCTCTCCTCTCCCCATGATCCTGCAATTGGATGACATGTGAGCCTCGCATTTCAATGTTGACTAGAGGGGGCATCACATGTCATACACTTGCCCAGCTCACAGGGGCGAGGTGAGCTGTCAGCTCACCTCCATTATTCTATCTCTTCTCTCTCTCTCTCTCTCTCTATATATATATATATATATATATGAGAAATATAGAGAACCTTGGTACCAAGTTCTTTCATTGAACTTGGTAGTAAGGTGGCCAAATCAGCCCCATACATCACACCTCGAAGATGGAGCCCTTTTTTGGAGTAGGTGAATAGTGATTGAGGTTCTATCTTCGAGACATGATGTAGGGGCCAAATTTGACCACATCACTACCTAGTTTAATAGAGAAACTTGGTATCAAAGTTCTTCATATTTCTCTACACACACGCATATATATACACACACACACACACACATATATGTACATATATACACATATATATGTACATATATACACATATATATGGTTTCTTAAAGTAATTAAAAAAACCTGTAGTAGAATTTGACACGAGGAGTTTTATTTGTTGAGAAATTGAGGTGGAAAAAGGATAGTTCCAGTTTGAGGACGCCTTGGATTTAAAATTGGGAGAGTCAAATGTAGATGACTGCACAGAAATGTAGGGCTGGTTTTATTGCCAGTTACGTTTTCCACATTGAAGAGCACTGGGAGAACTTTGAAACTGTTGCTGCTGATTTCCTAGTCATCTTAAGCACTGAGTTCTTTGCATCGCCTCCTTGATCTGCTTGAGTAGAGATCTCTGTGGGAGGATGTGTGTTCTTCACATTTCCAGAATCTTTGGGTGATGTTTGTGAATCAGTTTTATAATTGGAACTTCCATATGCGTACGATATGCATTTTTATGGTGTTCAATCAATTTAAGTGCTAACTATTAGATAACCAGATAGTGAAACTTTACCTTTTGGGGCCAGACTAGTTTCAGTCAAATAGGATTACAATGTTTTAGGCGATCAACAAGAAAGAGTAGAAAAATGGAAAGGTCCATGTGGAGACACAATCTTATCTTTTGTGGTATGGGCATAGCTGCAGTTGAAGTTCTCTTGTCTATGTATATTCATCTGCATATATGTCAACTCTCTATATTTGATTTGATGCCTGTATCTTGCTATATCTAAACAGAACTGTCTTGTTGTGCGTGCATGTGCATTTCATGTGTGCCTGGATGCAATACTCTCTAGCTCTTAAGGTGCTTGAACCTGCTAGCAAGGCATTTTGGCAGAGGGAATTTATTTATTTATTTTGGACAACTGAAGTTTGTCTTATTTCCCCCCGTAATATAGGGACATTAACATTCTACCTGAGAAAAATCTTCTTGCCGATTCACTGCTCTCAGATTCTTTTCTTACAATATTGACGAGTTTTAGGCTTTCAGCTGGTTTTTGGTGACCATAAATTTATATGCACCAGCCGACCGGTTTCGCAACCCATCAATCATCTATTTTGTTCTTTTTCTTTTCCATCAAGCCCCTCTCTTGCCCATATGTTTTGCAACTAGGAATTTACTGTTGGCATGTAGTGTTGACATTAATTGAAAATTATTAAAGATTTATATGTGCACATTATCACATGTTAACTAGAGAAAACTTGCAAAATATTGATGTCCATTGAGGCATTTGAATAGTTGTATGTGTAGCCAATGTATTAAATATCGAAAATATCAGAAATATCAGATGGCCAAAATCCATATTGGGTTGCGGAAAATCGGGGATATATCAGGGATATGTAAAAAATATCGGGGTGTCATATCGGATGATGTTCATATGTAACATAACATTGTAATGTGTAATCAAAACATATTGAATGTATTCTAAACATAAGAAATTGCATCATAAATAATGATATACAACATTTAGAGATATTAGATGTAGGTAGAGGTCAGAGAGAGAGAGAGAGAGAGAGAGAGAGAGAGAGAGAGGGGGAGAGAGAAGTTGAGAGAGAGAGAGAGGAAGAGAGAGAGAGGAGTCTGATGAGGTGCTGAGAGAGCTGAGAGAGGAGAATTGGAGAAGAGAAAGAGAGAGTGGAGAGAGAGGAGAGAGGTTCGTACCTGAGATAGCCTAGCATTTTTGAGCTAGAGTACCGAACGAAGAGGGAGGATAAATATGAGATTGATTAAGGACTTAGGGTATTTTGGTTTGAAAATTTATTAAGTTTCCAGATATGGTGGGAACCAAAACCATACCCAAACCCAAACTCAATAATCATTTCCATTTAGATGTTAGCCAATATCGGCCGATATTTCCTTAAAGAAATATAAGCCAATATTTCCGATATATCGGGAAAAAGTGGTAAAAATCAGAAAACGATATTTTTTTTATAAATATTGTATCGGAAGGGCATCAAAAGCCATAAATCGGCCAATATTTAATACACTGCATGTAACCGCTTTTAACCTTTGCATTGGCATCTGCTAGTCCCTTAAACCATCATACATATTCATCTTAAATTCTTAATTATGTTCTCTTTCATAGATGATCACATGACTTCTTTCTGGTTGATCTTACTTTGGTATGTCAGCATTACTAACTCATCGACTTTTTTTCTTGGTTAGGGACAAACGTTAACAGCAAATGAAGTTGCTGCAACTATATCTGTCTTACTTGGTTCTTCTCCTGTCCTGCTTTCTGCCGATTCATCATTCAAGGTTGTAATAGTGTGTTTTCTTCAAAAATTCAAAATTCTGTTACATCTGAAAAAGTCTGACCTGGTTGTGCCATTTGTTCACAGCTAAATGAAATCCTATTCCCCAATCCATTTGACAGACCTCGTGCTGTTTTCTTGTTGGAAGTTACAGGACTTACAGGTCAGTGTTGTCAATTGATATATCAGTTCTTTCAAACTTTCGATTTTTAATCTAGTTGTTTGTCTGGATTTACAATCATATGGAATTGCTTGTGTAGATCCTCTTTTAGCTTTTGCCGACACAAATGACACAGTGGGTAGTGCTTTTGGTAGCAAGATTCTGGGTTCAAGTAAAGCTGATATAGAACTTTCAGGTATCCTGACCTCTGTGTATCACTCAAATAATATGCGTTCATCCACTAGTTTTTTAAATGAAAAAAAAATCTGCAATAAGTTGATTTTGTTATATCCTTGTCCGTTTTGCAGACGAGGATATGGTTTCTCTTTTAGATGAACCATTAAGTAATGAATGTAATTCTGCTTGCATTGCTCAGGAACTCGAATATCTTGTAAGACTTGGTTTATGATCCTTTAGTTACAACTCTTTTAATGATAATTATGAAGCAGCTGAATTTGAATATGAACAGTGATTCTTTATGCAGGGAGGAACGTATGATGGCACATCAGAATTGGATGGAGTGGTCAGCTTCCCTTTAGCCACTGGCTCCTCTTTAAACCTGCAACTTTCCAAGGTACATACATACACACATATCCTGTATCCTTCCCCATCCCTTATGTGCATGATTTATTTTTCTTGTTATTCTGTTGATACTGGAGGGCAGGAGGCATTGATCTGTATAACTTGTCGATAGAGTATGGATGTTTGTTACAGTTCCTAGCTTCTTTCCATCTATATGCATATGGTTGTTAGGTAATAAGCTTTTGTGGTATAGGCTAACATTGTTTCTGCTTATTGCTTCAGTTGGCCATCTACCAAGAAGTATGTTAATTTGCAAATTGTTACCAAGAATAGTACTCTTTTAACAATGTTGCTGGCTGGTGATTTGACCAGCCTTGGCTACACACTCTATGCCAAGTTCTATAATAGGCTTGGTGTTGCTTTCTGCTCTAAAGTTTTTTTTAAAACAAGTGTAAGTTCTGTTTCCTAATGATACATTTGAATATCTTTTGCAGAAATCTGATCGAAGTTTTGCATTAAGACTAGTGTCCTTAACCAGAAATATCAGGAAGTCCATGGAGAATCATGAATTTTTAGCAGAAATCCCTACAGAATTATTGATAGGCCATTTCACAGGCATCGAGGTGAATCTCATCTACCATTCTGTAATATTTTATTCACTTCCTTACATGTGACCCAGAAACATATTAATTAAAATTGTTGCTATATATAGAAGTAAAGCCAGTAACATCCCTTTCTGTATGACGGTGGGAACTAATTATGGGTTCTAGTCACAACCTATGTATATTACTTCTACTGAGAGTTTGATTAGTTCTACTGAGAGTCAAGAAGATCATATGTTTTTTCTTTCCTTAGAATTACCCATTTCGTGAATAATATTACATTCGCCAACTATGATATAAGTTTTTTGTTTTGTTTTTTGTGCCTGTAATGTATCACTTATACCAGTAATATGCTAGCAGTCAATCTGCCTCTACCAGTGATATGCAAACATTCATTTGTGTTTATTTTGCTTTTTTTTTTTACCTTTAAGATTGTTTATTTATCCATTTAGGAGATTTCTTAGCCTGTTTAGTCATGGGTACAGTTGTTCAATGCCTATATGTTGAATTCATTCACAGTTTTGCTTCTTTGGCACTGTTTTTGAGCACCAAAAACTATTAGGCTCAACCTTGTTTAGTTACAAGGCGCTCATTTTCAGGTAGTGATAAACATTGATCCAACTATAAGAAACAAGCAAACTATTGCCGTAAGTTATTTGAGCAGTCTTAATGTAGTCATTGGATATTCATTCTTACTGATAAATAAAACGGTTTATCTTGGAGGATTGTTCTTGTCATGTGTTTGTGCATGTGTTGAAGAGATAACCTTGTGGCATTGTTTTGTAGTAAGTAAGTTTTTTCGTCTTTGTCCATTTTATCAGATCCTGTATAATTTTGTTTTGAAATTCAGTTTTCTATGTTACAGTTGAGCTTTAGTTAATTTGTCTTTCCTGTACTTTCATGTATAACCTCTATGGCCAAAAGATGCCATAAGATGTATTCAGTATGCAACACCTTGTAATTGACATATATTGCAGGCCTTGGAGGAGGAATATGGCTGCTTCAGACAGCACTTACCAAGTTATTCGGGTTACTGCAGAAGTCTTATGAAGGTCAGTGAATGTCATCTTGTTAAACTGTGCTTCTATCTCTCATAGTCCCGCTTCAGCACCATAAAAGTGTAGCCTTTAAAAGTAAGCAATAAATAAAAATAAGTTAATTGAAGCATTGTGCTTCTTTATGTATTGAAAATATAAAGAACATGGAAGTGTTTACAGTCCTCTATACTATGAACCTAAGTAGCAGGGACCCTTCAATCATGAAGCCATATTCGTGTCGGAGTCATATTGACACACATTTATAAATCAAAGACTCTGTGCATAGAGCTATGATTTTAATATAAGAAGTTGGATGCATTATCCTAATATAAGAAGTTAGATGCATTATTTTAAAATGAGAAAAGAGATACATCATACATTATGCTAATGTGAGAAGTGAGATACATTTAGGTACCAATAGAAAGTTAAAAGAACTGAAATCTATCATTCTCATTAAGTCCTATGCATTGTTAAGACTTAAAATTTTGAATATATGGTCATTTTATGTTACTATGTCATTAGGGACGTGTCTAGAACTATGGTTGGCATTGGAACCAAATTCTTGGCTTAGGTAAATGTGCCACAATGATGGGTTCCACTGCCATCGGACACCAATTAGCATGTTCATTGAGCTACCTTATAGATATAGAGTTGAATAACATGCTGAAGAAAAAAATCCTAATAGGCCAGTAGGGAAGATAATAAAGGTCTTATTGTTGGAGTAATTTTCCTTTCACAATATATAGATATAGATCTTTTTTATTTATTGATGCACGTTCATGGAGGTTACTATTGTGCACAACACTGTGTTGGTTTTATCACAGGTAAGACCGTTATTAAAATCTAATTATAGCCAGCTCAAACAGCCATAATATGGGTTATCAAGTTGGATATGCTGCTCACTAGAGTCTGTCAGATTACATAGGGCAAACTACTTCTGTCAATCTGCATGCTCGACTATGTTGAAAAGTGAAAACACATCCTGTCCCTTTTTCCAAAACTAGTTGTATCAGTAAATGTCACATGGCTAACATAATACCTTTTTCTTGACTACCTTAGCTTGCATATACTTATGATATGGCTTCGCCATGAACTTCAAACAAGTTTTACTGCTGCAGGGAAAATTGTGGGAGTTGTTTTATCTAATACTGAATCATATGCAAACTTGGGCTCGTTGCTGAATGTTAAGCTTTCAGCTCATGGAGCTCGGTGGTTGGGTGAAGTTGATCCACTTAATGTAACAATTGGAGAGGTGATATTAGTTAGGCGGAGTTTGGCTTGGATAACTGGAATTATTCTTCTGGTTTCTACTCTAATTGGGGTAAGTACTATGAGGAAGTTAAGTTTGGGCTTGCTTTGTTGGTTACAGTTATTAACTTATTATGATTTTCTTTCATATTACCTGGTTTGCGTTATTATTTGTATTAGTATTATTATTTTTCTTTTAATGTTTAGCTTGTGGTTGTTTGGAAAACAATGAAATAAAACGGGAAACAACACTTTTTCATTTTCCATTTGATTGCATTTCGCACATGGGAGCAACAATTAAAGCAACATTTATCATAACATCTTCTATAATCATAAGTTGTTAGACTATATAGCAATATGCTGTTTAGACTGATTTGTAATTTTGAATGCTTTTTATCATATCAATTTACCGAAGTTAGACAAATTGGCTCTGTGGACTCCTAACTTTGATGGGTCAATGTTTTTCTAATTTTATTAGACCTATATATTATTTATTTAGTGAAGAGAAGTTCACTTGTAATTGATAGAATAGAAAACCTTATTTAAGATGTTTATAAACACAGGCTAGGATTTCATTGTATCATTAGTTTCTTTGGTTAACCAAGTTTTGGATCATTTTTTTAGTTAAATGGTTCTAAATGTATTCATTGACTTTCTTCTTGCAGCTTTACTACTTGCTTTATATGCCAATTACAAGGGACACCCTCCTTTATTCCAATGTAAAACTCGACTGATTTGTCACAGAACAGGAATTTTGGAGAATCTATCCCTGGTAATTATCACATTCTCCTTCGTATTTGCCTATGTATTCGCTTGGTCAAATCATATAAGGGGCATTATATTTTTCTTACATTATTTCTCTGCTACTGGATGAGTCCGGTTTTATATGTAATAGAAATTATTTTGTGTAGTCAGTTCTTGCAGTCAAATAAAAATAAGTACGAATTACGAATAAGTTGTCTCTACTTGGTTTGTTTTTGTGAACATGCTGAAACAAATATATGTGTTTGATTGTATGTGTTATAATTTTCACTTCTGTTAGTGTCACAATAACTAGAGCAACTTGGAGATCTTTGACAATGTTGGTACTTGGTAGTTTATATTTTTTCTATAATTGCTGATACCCTTAAAATTTATTACGACTGGTAGACGCTGATGGTTAAGCTACCGCTATATTGCTCACAAGCCTCTAGGAATTTGTGCATGATCTTACTGTTTACATTGTGCATCGGTTATAGCTTGGATGCTATTTTCAACTGCCAACAAGAAATTAGAGCTGTTATAACTTCGTATACTTGCATTTATTTACCCATATACTTAAAACTTTGATGATGGGGGTTCTTGTTTAGTTCATCATCTTATCCGTAAAACACATAAAACAGACATAAAACAGACGTTCTGAAGAAAAGAACACACTAATATTTGGACGAGACACTTTAACGTACAAAACGCACTCATATTTGATCGAGACACTTTAACCTTTCCACAGGGGCACGTACATAACAAACATGCAAGAAGAACAATTCCCTCGGAGAAAGCAATACAAATAATCAAAACACAAGTATAGGATGAAAAAAGAAGTATAGAACATCTTTTATGCACAAAGTATAGGATGGAGAAGAGTACATAGCATTGGAACATAAAGTATATGACAAGTCTCAAATAGTTGTGATATGCTTTGATCTGGCTGTCTTTTGAGATGCAAATCACATGTATTCAAACTCTCATTTATTTACTGCAAATCTCAAATAGTAACATTCTGGAATTGGAGCTAAATAATAAATTCAATTTACATACACAAATAAGCTAACCTGACCATGATACCAATAATATGTGTACAAATTATGAAACAGAATAGCTTACAAATAAACCTTCTACTGTAAATTGTTAGGTTCTGTAAATATAAATTAGATCGAATGATTTCATGTCAATCCCTGGCTTTAGAAGTGTTGTAGGAATGTTCAAAAATTTCTTGTACCAATTTGCAGATAATATTGGAATTCTGTCTTGTGTTTTGAAGTCAACATAATACAACCCAAATCTTTGTGTGTAGCCAAATGCCCATTCAAAATCTGTCTTGTGTTTTGAAGTCAACATAATACAACCCAAATCTTTGTGTGTAGCCAAATGCCCATTCAAAATTATCCATCAGACTCCATATGAAATAAATACAACCCAAATCTTTGTGTGTAGCCAAATGCCCATTCAAAATTATCCATCAGACTCCATATGAAATAACCCCTAACGTTTGCTCCTTGTCTAAAATAAAACAAAGATATGATTGTATAATGTTATGGTAATTTACCATCTAAAGATGAAGATACCGAAAGATTGTCTGCATAGGCTTAAAAAAGCCATGGTCCAAACCAGTTTAGAGGCCCAAAAGCCCAACCAAAGGCAAGTCTATCGGCCAGCCGAGCAAACAAGTCATTTTTTGACCAAAGGTCATCATTATCGACTCGAAGTGCGGGATCAGTTGGTCCCTCGTAGTTAAGACGACTCCTCGAGCAGACGTTTTGACCATACACTCGACTCAAAGCTCACTCGACTGTCGGGTCGGAAAATCATAATGACAACTCACGAAACGATCCGCCTCTACTAAGGGGATGAGATCCAGCTAAGCTCGCTTCAGACGTCAATCAGCACTACAATATTGATCAGTCCCATCGAGATCTCCGCTCTGACAAATCCCGTGCATAAGCCGCTTATTCTACTCACAAGTCATTTACCAGGGATCGCCATAATGCTCCCCTGGGCTCAAATGACTTTCCCTCCAATCACCAGCCGCCATCTGGAAGGGAAAGGACGACCAAACAACTGGCCTATCCTCTACCTTGCCTCATCTGTCAAATCCAGGATACCGAGAAGATATTTCTCTCCTGTACTCGAATGACTTTCCTTCCAATCGCCAGCCGACATATGGAAGGAGAAGGATGACTCCGCAGCCTGCCTGCTCACCCCTCAACCGCCTCATGTGCATAGTTAAAGCCAAATGGTCAAACTCTCAGAGGCGATGGGCTATAAAAGGAGGGAAAGAAGGTAAAAGAGAGGGGATTTTTTCTGCTACTTCTTCACAAAAGCTCTGAATTTACCTTTGCTAAAAAAAACTAATAACTCTCAAATAGTACCCTCTAAGGACCTCAATGGCCCAGGAACTCTCCCTCAAATCCCACTCAAGCTCACCAGCTGACTTGACCGTCGGAGGTACCACGGGGGAAATGAGCCCCGCCTCCCACGGGTTTCTTCTTGTTTGTACAGAAGGATTAGGAATTCCAGTCTAATGATCGGGCATAAAATCGGAGGAGGAGTCGGCCCCATCTCTCATCCTCTCCCTATTCGTCGCCAGCACGAAGACCAGAACCGCAACCCCCTCGTTTGTGTGATATCAAACATCAACATATAATATCTGGATGAGGTGACAACTCACTAATATTCAATACCTACCCATCATCATCATCATTTTCATTATCAAAATTTGATAATGCCTTGTAAGCAACAAGCTTTGTGATAGTGTTATCTATGTCTACCTAAATAAAAGGGATTTATGTGTCGTTATCATCTAACTTAGAGCAGCAAAAACACCTCATGGCAGCAGAAAGAGGAGTGAGGTAACTTCTGATGTATTCTATTCTTTCTTTATCATTGATCAACTCATTAATGGACACACCATCATGGATTTTTTTGGCTATAACGTGAGAACAAACAGGTAGATGCACAATATCAAAACTAACATTGGGTTAAAAATCTCAAAACAACAAAGAAAACAGCAATGCACACAGTATATGAAATTTAAAGGGGAAAAAAACAAACAAACATTGGGTTAAAAATCAAAGGTGAATCAACTTGCATTATCCTTCTGCAAATTTACTATTCTCGGTTATGTACATAGTTGTATTGTTATATCTTTCCTTGATATAGAGAACCAACTTCTCCATTCCACTTGGCACAACGCAATGATTTGGCATTCCACTCTGGAAAATCAATAGAAACATATATAAATAAGGCAGCTCATATATAAATTACTTGGATTGAATTTAATTTGATAGGAATATATATCCTTTGATAAAGTATCAGTTTTTGTTTTACTTTATTTCCTATATTGTATTTGTTCTTACCTGAGGTCCAATGGGTAATCCATTTCTTTCTGTGGTTGTGGATACTAATGCATTTGCATCATATTTATCCAATTTGCAATGAGAGTATAATGATTGATACCGATGAAATCCAATTTATTCCGTAAATTTCTCCTTTCTTCTAGGTGTGAAAGTTGGTGATCTTGATCCTAGAATTTGATGCATTTCGGTAAGGTAGTCAACCAAGATTATAGGATCTAGGAACCTTGAGAACACAGCAATTTCATCTCTTAATTAGTGCATATCTTGGACATTTCTCAAAAAATGGAAATGGTTAGGAAGTATATACATATCAAAGTTATATGTGATGAGAAATTTTATTACCATCCAACTTCAAAAGGTAAAGCAAGTTGAGCAGCCAGTAAGTTAACACTAGTATTTCCCAGGGGCTCATACCATTTGCCGTGGATAACTATCCCAATATAACCTCCTTGACCTACCTAAAGAATAGGATCATACAAGCTATTCCATGATAATTTTTTTATTTAAATAAAATTTCAATATTCATACAGTTTTAAAAAATCTGTACCTGGTAAGTATTTTTGTAGGTATTAACCGCCGCGGCGTGTGACAGTATATACGTCGAATTTCCAGAGGAGCAATCTCCGAAGGGTTTGGAGCAACGACCCGGTGGATACCTTCCGCGCAAATAACTGTTCTTGAGCATGAGGTTCGGCTCATTAAAAGGGCTCCAATGTTTTACTCGATCGCCAAATTCCTCAAAACATACTTCTGCAAAATATGCGAAATCTTGCCTGAAAATTTTGAGAAAAAAAGTAAAATGTTGTCAAAACACAGTTATGTGAAATATGCTAGAAATTAATTATCTGGAAAAAAGAGATTTTACTGTATTTTGCGGGATGAGCCAGGCACCATATTGATGTTGGGAATTTACGCCGAAATCCCAAACACAGCAGAAACGTAATATAGAGAAAAATACACCAAGTTTAACGAGGTTCGGCAACTGCCTACGTTCTTGGGAGTCACACAGTAAATTTCTTTATTAATCTCAGAAATTACAAAACTTGAGCAGATCTCAAAATACCAACATTGTAGCTACAGTGTTAATCATCTCTCCTTAAATATCTCTTCTCCTTAATTACCCCCTTCTTTAATCTCCCTCAATAATTTCTCCAATGAGAGCTGGGAAAAGAACGAGAGAGAGAAGCAGAGAACACCGTCGCCGCCTCTAGATCTGAGTGGCGAGAGAGAAAAATCCAGGGCTCAAGATTTTTCGCGCGCTGCAAATCGCCCGAGATGAAGCAATCGAGGGGCCGGGGGGGGGGGGGTTGCTCTGGGTTCCCTTTTATAGAGAAACCCTAGGAAGAGAGCGACAGCTGTGAAACAGGCTGTGTTTGGCTTTCTGCGAGCTTGCTTGCCAGTCGCCCCGCATGCAGCCAAGACCTCGCCTGCAACTCGTCGTTCGAGCTCGTCCTGATCTCGTCGAGCTCGCCTGCTTTCAAACGATCGCCTGAACCGTCGCCGACCTCAGTCCGGCTAAAGTTCGCATGCGCCACGAGCTCGCCTGAAGCCGCTGATCTCGAGCTCGCCTGAAGGTCTTCTCGACCTCGCCTGGACCGCGCTCGCCTGAAGCTTCTCACCTGAAGTTTCACCGACTTCGAGCTCGCCTGAATTGAGGTTTGATCTTCACCCCAATTCCAATAATCTCCCACTTGAAGAAAAATCTTCCGAAACTTTACGGGACTTCAAGTCCCGTGAAGTTTTTGTACATTACAAAACTTCACGGGAGTTGAAGTCCCGTGAAGTTTCAGAACATGTTTTGTCAAAACCGACCCAGTTTCAGCTAGACGGTTGAAACTAG